TACCACGGAGGTATACCCGGGCACGTGAAGGAGCCGTTTTTTATGTTGTCAGCGAAGGACAAGTAGTTGTAAAATGACATTAATGGAGACTAACAATTAAAAACCTTCTTTATAATTTCTAATACGTGACAGATTGTTGACAAGTTTGTTTAGTTAAGGTTTCTTCTATAGCAATAATAATAATAATAATAATAATAATAATAATAATAATAATAATAATAATAATATAATCATGCTTAAAAGGTATACAAACAACACATTACAAGACATGCAAAACATGGCAAGTGGTTGCAATATAAAAGTTTCAGATTCCTATTCAAAAGATTCAAATTCCTATTTTAGCAACCACGGACATTAAAACGGACATACAGAAAAATGTTGGTACTTCCTAGTCATTATTATTCGCATCATTAGGAGTGTAGTGAACCACTTCTATTGCCTCTAATACAAACTGACATCAGTTGTTTTTGCATTAGGGCAACGTCGAGACTAAGCATTGTTCAGCGAGAAAAGTAACAAACGCAACAATATAGAGTATACACTAACAATATATTTTTAATAAGTTTCTTCCCCTATCGTAGCCCAAGAAATTTAATCAACTCACTATCGCGGGACCACTGAGAACGACGATTTAGGGTGACGAATAGGACTCAAAAATAATGTTCCTTAGGACTATACATAAAATCATTTGTAGCTCTGTAAAATATTCTGTTTCTGCATTAGGTACATTTCCAACATGGAGAGGCCACATTCACTATAAAATTTCTTCCTCCTGTGGTTTTGTGTCGGGAATGACACGCTTCCTTATTATAGAGGTTCTGCCATATGCATATTTTAGCACAATTGGAAATAAATTAATTATTTCAAAGGGGATACGAAGTTTCTAGAAGGAAATATCTGGGCTTGAAGTGTAATTCCTGGTAGTCTGAAGCGGTCGGAATGAATAAGGGCCGGATTTTTAGGTAATGCACCTCCAGACAAAGCTCATTGGGAGTTTTCATTTTTTATTAATATCATGTTATGTAATCCAATTGAAAGCATTTCAGAAACTTCCCTTGCACCTTATTTGTACCTAAATAGACTTGCTGCCTCTATTTCCAAATCTTTGCACACACAAAAGAAAGACTAATTTTGCATGTGCACATTATATGTACAAAGTTAAATCAGAAACTGTTTGTGCAAGTCATGCCCTTTTTTTTTGTTCCACTTTGCCCCAAAATAACCGGTCTCTATTTTTATTCTCAGAAGAACAAAGGCTCAAAGTAAAGGAGCCCCGTTCAACACCAGTTATCGCGACCGAGCTTTTTTACCAGATATTTTGCCGATGTCGAAGGTGCTTCGAAACGCAGTGAAGTTCTGATATATTTAGTATGTTGCTATTTTACGTCAAACATATGCGCACTTCTGATGGCAAATCTCATGTTTTCTCAACCGATGCTTCAACTAAGAGCTTGATCGCATCTACTACCGCCCATTGGTAACACACTCACGTCAGACATATTTCAAACAAATCCTGTAGCCCATCGCCGACTCGCGTTCCCCCTCCCATCACCCCTCACTCGAACTCAGGTAATCCGGCTCTTTGAAAAGGATCGAAAACCTCACGTCAGAACTGGAGAGACGTTTGCATTGTGGGCAGTGTTCATTGCTGTTGTTAAATTAACAGAGAGGGTTTCGAAAAACTTTCGTCTCTGTACATTCTAGGTTGAGTATTCAGTTGTTACTGAACGTTCTAGAAATGAGTAAAGTAAAAAGCCTTGAATTGAAAGAAATAACTAAGATGAACGCAGATAATGCTATTCTGTCGAATGGTTCTGTGTTTAAGTGTTATGTTTGTGGCTATGAAATAGCAGTGGATGAAAATCATCTTACCTCACATGTTCGGCAACATTTGCAACAAGGAAAACATGCGAAGAACAAAGCCCTGAAATCATCATCAAATCGTTAGTGCTTCATTGGTAGATGTTTTAAAAGGCGGAAGAAATCCAGGCCAGGCAATAAAATTGCTCTTGATTAACATCGACATTAATGCACAGCGGTATTTCCCACTCCCCTCAAAAACTAAACCTTTATTCAATAAAGAAATTTCTGTGTAGTACAGAAAGAGCAGTTCCAGGCGAAATAACGTTCAGGCAGAACTTTGTGAAGCCTCTCTACGTTGCATCCTTCCAGAAAATAATTTCTGTTATCGGCGACTCACCGGTGGCATTGTTTCGAAAAGGTATGTGTTGAACATTCTTAGTCCGTTAATCCATGTTGGTCTGTCATGATGTGTTTTGCCGATGTTCACATCAAATGGCATTACTATAATAAAGTGCTACTGTATTACCGACCCTGCACCCTGTTTGATACTGAGTGGTAACAACTTGAAACTGATGCACACCAATTTGAAACATGTCTTTTGTTTTGCCCATGCGTTCCATAGTTCGTGTGGTACACCGCAGATTACACTATATACAATTTTGTAGTTTTTTTTAAAATAGTAAATAATGGTTTATGTATTTTAATTGAATTAAACATACATTTAATATGATTTCATTATGTTAAAAATCACGTCATAAATAAATATGAAATTGAAATTTAATTGTTGAAAAGAGCGAGGCAACGACAAGACTACAGCACTCAGCACTATATATGCTGACTTTTACAACTATGTAAAATGGCTATTTTTTTATCCCTCTACAATAAAGTGATAATACTCAAACTTACAGATACGGTTACAGTATAGGGTACGTACGAGTTCTAAACGTCATATTTACGGAAATAAAATGTTTTATTACGACAGGCAACAGGCCTAACTTGCCCCTCCCTTTGTGTGCTCTCCTGTGCAATTTGCAGCGCGGTTGGTTTAAGAACACGCGTTGGGCGTCTGGGCTGTCCAGCTGAAGGACGGCCGAAGGCGGCGAGCGCACGGCGCGGGAAGGTGAAAGGAAGGCGCGCAGAGACGCTTATCGCCTCGCAGGCGGCGGGCGCAGTTGCAGACGGCGGCGCGCACGGCGGCAGCGCCCGACAAGAGGGGCCCGGTTCGAATCCGACGTCATGCGTGGAGAGTTTCGTTGGGTGAAAGGGATGGGGAAAGCAACAGGGCACTGGCGTATTTCACAGACTTGGACCTTTTTTAGAACAAAAGTCAGTGACGACTAAATGAGGTGGATGGAGAGGCAGAATCACTTAATCCGTAACGTTAAATTTTGATGTTAATAATTTGGAGCAGGCATTCAATTTTCTTCTTCCCTTTATATAAAGAAAGAACTCGAATTTATTCTTCCGTAATTGTGTGCATCAATTCGATGAGCAGGAATTATTAGACTAGCTTTGTCAATGAAATAGATAATAAAAAATCCAATTTCTCAGTTATCTTTTCAATTTTTGCACTGAAAGCTAGACACATTCTTACGAAAAGTCTACGAAGAATATGGGAAAGTTCAATATATTTGTGATTTGAACGGTTACTTATTTTCATTATTATTGTTAATATTGCTATTACTGAGAATGGAAAGTAAAGAGTAGTACCAAGACAGCTAATGAATTTTAAACCAAATCTTAGAAGGGTCCCGAAAATTCTGCAGAAGGATATTATATTGTTTGAAATATTCTATTCCTTTGTAAGCAACATTTTTATTTGCAATTTTTTGATTGACGCAGCTATAAAATGAGCAGATACGCACCTTGAAAGGAAACCATAAGTCGTCAGCACATGAACGCTCTCTTTTGGGTAGAACAGAGACGCAGAAGGATCCTAAACGAAGAACGTGGCTCTCCTTCATTCAGCCCATATGGATAAGTACACCTTTGTCGTGATAGGACTGCTCTCATAACGACCCAGTGTCTATAAGTTCCTTCTCGACTTAGGAGTAATGAAAGCAAAACCCTGTTGATTAAAGTTGTTGACCTGTTGGTGGGGTAAAGCTAACCCCATCATTGCAAACAGGTCAGCCACTTGATTTCAAAGAAGGAAATATAAACTTTCCTTCCACGCCGTCATTATTCCCAACATGTCTGCAGGGTAATTAAAAATCACTATTGGAGCCGTAAAGTGGGGCCGATAATATCGTTTCAGTAAAAAGAAATAACTGAAATTTTGAAAGTATTAAATAAATATTAGTCTTACTACGAAAAATCAGTCTTCTGAAACATTGCTTTACAATAGAACGTATTGCCCACATAACCATATTGGAATTTCCATGTGGAACCATACTGGTTGACACATGACAATGTATGCATAAGGTACTACGTGCACGAAATGCACGACGCAAAATGCACAAAAATACGAAAGGAATTACGAAACTGCCGCACAGTCGCAGCTGTAAGCGCGTTTCCCCAAGGTCATCACTTTAGTACGAGAAAGACTTCCTCTTCCAAGTGCCAATCTGACGGCCTCTCGCAGTGTGCATCAGCAAGGGGCGCGTTATCATTGTTATCTGCAGGAAATGCGCGTACAATATCGCCAGAACAGATTCACGGCTAGTCGTATCGTGACGCACTTGACTCTGACAGATCTGAAGGATATTTGAATCATCTATATAATTAATCTTCAACAATTTCGCATGTTGCTGAGATTTTGGAATAATACATGGCGTAGATGCAAGAGCGCTAGCTTTATTGCTTAGCACTTAGTTTTTGTTTCTGATCAAATTCCAGTCATTATACCAAATGTGATGAAAATAGGATCTATTTCTCTCGGTTTTGCAGCCTTTCATTACCGTTCATCATATCCAGTTTTTTGACCAACTATTTACCGTCTGATGTACATAAAATATTGGGTACAAGGAAACAAATAAATGAAATAATTCTTGTTTATCAAACACACACACTCACACACACACCTACTCAAGTGATTTAAAAATATTTTATCGAAGTAGACATTTTATTTTGCGCGCTGATAGCATCTTTAAATACTGCACGAATGTATCTGTTCAGCGCGAATTTATAAGCGTGCACTCTTTCCGAATGCTTCGTGGATACCTAACATGCCATTAGATTCCATGGTCTGATCCTACCCTGTCAGAGCAAAGAGAAAGGGTATTTAAACCGGTGGCCGGCACTGACACGCCTTTTCCAGTCGACCGAGCGCGAGGTTTACGACTGGCGTTAGCCCCGTGCACGTTTCTCAACCACGATACAGCACCGGTGCAATCCATTTCGGTCTGGAGGAACCGCTGACACAGCGGCGAAAGAGGGCGGTGGGCGCACTTTTACTGGCGGCGCCACTCGGGGTATGGCGGAGTACATTTGGATTCCATGCGCGTCAACTATGTAAAAAGCTAATCCCGTAAGTGTAGTCCATGTAATATCCCCCAAGGCGGCGGAGTTATTTCGCTGGAACGTGAGATACCGCACTCCGGCGCTGACCTACATGTCAGCTTGCAAGGTCTCCTCATTCAGGTATCTCATCCCAGCCCGGGCAAGCTCTTAGCTCCTGACTGGTATTCCGATGTGTGTCAGTGTAGAACTTGTAAGTGTAAGCATGTGTCTGTGTGTAAGGACAAGGATGAAGAAGGAAAGTCGGGCGCAATCTATGGCCTGTTTTTTTATGTATTGCTTCAGCATTCGCCTGGTATTGATCGGATAAATCATGGAAATACCGATTAGAGCAGCCAGTAACTAGAATTCTCCTCCGGAGAGATGTTGAATTCAACCCAACTATGGAGCTATCGACCTCACTGTCGGGCCCGAACTCTAGGACATCCCGATCAAAGCTACTGTGGAGGCAATGGTATCCACAGATACGAGGGACAAGAGGGGTGATCTCTCACCCCCATTTGGGTAAAACAACGCTGGGTGTAGCTTGCTTCAAACAGGGGCGTCGTATGACAAAATCAAATGTGTAGGAAGAAGCAAAAATTCAGCGTAAAAATTTTGGGGCTGATGATCCTCAAAAATGTTATCCGATAGTTAAACACTACACATATTTTTCGGTTGAACAACTCATAACACGAATTATTTTAAAAAGTAAAAAAACAACACAACTGCATTTAGAACTCTGAAGCACACTGAGAAGCACAACTGATCCCTGCAGGCAGGGAATTGACGTGTCGTTGGGTGTGGTTGATGTGACGAACTTCCCTCCGTCAAGATGGTTTTTCACTTACGTTTAATTTTGTCAAATTCGGCTTCAGGGCGATGTGTGCTCAGAGTTCCTTATGGAAATGTCTAGGAAAGCTGACGAGGTTGGCTCCTTTCCTGGTTGGAAGTTCGCTGACTCCGCACGATGACTTCTGCTTTAGCTTTTGTTCAATCAAAAAGAAACCCCGCGTCTCTTTGCTTTCTCCGGGCTACGGGTTCGTGGCTACCCATATTCTGAAGGTCAGTATGAAACTCTGTACTGGATACAGAAGCGACGCGAGCTCGCATTAAGGTACCCCACCTCCCTTATGTTAGCAATAACTAAAACAGAAGACACATCGGTTTCAAATTTCTCCCTCCACTGCTAACATTTGACTCGCTCGTTACTTTAAAAAAATTATTAACGTCAAAAAATAGTAAGAATTCATTTACTTATCAAAAAAGTTGTTACTCTGCGGAGAAGTGCAATCTATACACGGTTTTTGTAAATTCTGGGATCCGTACTGTAACACATACATTACGCAAAATTATGGATGCATGTGGGAACGACCGTGTTTGGCAAGAATTGATAAGAAAAAATTTCTGCCAATGTGATAACAGCGATTTGCAAAGGCGGCACATTTTGGCTCTTAACCTTTATCGTGCCCTTCGAGAAGAAATGGACTTATGCAAGCTGTCGGCATGTAGTAGCTTTATGATGGGTTCGCAAGGTTAGCGAGGAGCGCGTGGGAGGGGCGGGGCAGAGGGCGCGAGGGAGGTCTGAGTCGCCCGCGCCGCTTCCTGCCTCCGCGCGCTGCCCGCCCCGCGCTCACTTTCTCGCCCGCAGCTAGAAAGCGGGCGCGCGGGCGAGCGAGCGAGTGAGTGGGCGGGGGCAGGGGCGTAAGCGTGGGCGGGCGCGTATGGCGGGCGAGGCGCGAGCGGCCCGCCGCGCCCTCCGCCTCCCACGCGGCCGCGAAAGCGCCTCCGAGACGGGTCTGCGCGCCGCAGCGGCAAAGCCCAGTCTCGCCCCCCAATCACTTCTCGCGTCGATGCAAACGCTCCCTTCGATCAACGCGAAGTCCAAACTCGTAGTTACGTCACCTAACTTTTAACATTGATTCACCAATGCAAATTCTAAGTAAAATCTTCATATAAAATATAATAAAATAATAAAATGAATACACAAGCATATAAATAACATAATTTATAAATGAAATTATTTAAAAATATATTCTGCTGAATTACCTTTTACGGAATTAGACCCTGCACTGAATAACATCGAAAAATATTATTTTGTAACACCAATACTACTTTATTACATTGCAAAGGCAAAACCCTTCCAGAATATGTCCGATAGAAGAAGTGTAGCATTTAGCCCTTGCAAAAGTCACAAACTGTTTATAATTTTTGAAGACAATTAAATGTATAAATAAATAAGCAGTCGATGTATCAAAATGTGTAATCAAACTCTGGGTGTTTCAATGTGTACCATCCTGCAAGTGATGAAGAACTCAACCACTTTTTCTGAAAACTGAACATTGTCTCAAATCCGGAGAGTTTTAAGGGGTAAAAATTCATCGTTGGCCTTCCTTTGGTAGGAACGAAAAGTCGTCTGACTCATGCCGTAGATATATTGCCTGTAATAGATGTTCAAGCCCAAATGAATCTTCAGCGCTAAATTCTGTTTCGCTTCCAGAGTGTTACCTTCTTTTACTGCAGGATGACGAAAAGAGCTTAGCAAAATTTGCTTGATCAGGTGGAAGAGCAGGTCTAACGGCCTGAGCATCGCCAAGTAAAATAAGGCATGACTGATTGATTAACATTTGGGATATGCGAATCAGTGGCCGCAAAAGAGCAAGGTTCTTGGCGGCGGAACTCACAAGAAAAACGAGGAAGAAACCCCATGCGTAGGAAGGCATTCGAACCCGCGACCCTTTGTACTCGGACGTTTAAAATAACAGTAACACTCGTAATATTAATACTATGAGACGGCACTGGATCTAAACCCCTTATGCGAATTGAGTCTGATGAAATTACGTGATCGTCGAGATTGCCTTACGTTCAATTCAGCTTTCGCTAAAACAAGAGAAAATGCAAGAAAATGACAAAAAACATTCCACAGACTCTTGTCATAGTACTAAATGAGATTTAGCCAACTGGAATTACAATTCAAAAGGAAAGCAATCACAAAATACCGCATCGTTACTCTCAGAGCAGGCATTCACCAAGATGTGTGGCAATAGCGTGAAGCACTTTGTAACTAAAGTGGATCTTCAACTCCTTTCGGTTACTTGAAAGATCGTTAATCATGAATGCATTGTGGTTTGTTACGACGCATTCTACGAAACGAATGCAAGAAGTACCTGTTTGTGTTGAAATGGAAGCAAGTTGTGAGGAAATAGCTGCTGAATTAGACGTCATTTATTACACAAAATATTTTCTCTCCTAGAATTGGATACAATTTACTACAAATAAGTGCTAATAATGTATAATGTTCAACATGAATCAACATTTACTTAATGCATGTGTTATTTACTCTTACTACGAAAGAATATCTTTTCGAGGATACACAAATCTACTTCATGGCATCACCAGCATTCCATGACGATCGTATTTAACGGGAGACAGTTTTCTCACATTTGCTGCTGTTCCCCTAACATGATACAGGCGGTGTAACTTCTTAGAAACCTGGGAATACCTTTCTTCTTGAATAGTTAGGTACTTAACTGTCCTAAACGTGCAATATTTTCAGTAGCAGCCGTCGCAATTGTCGCTTTTGGGGAAGGTGGCCTGCGCGGCCACTCCCCTCTAAAAATCAAAGATGATTAAATTTCTCGAAAAGTAAAAATATTTCAAACAATATCTGTACGGCATATTGCCCCATGATTCCACATTGTTGAGCGAAAACTGCACTTCAACATCGTGAACCGTTTAAGTTATGTGAGTGGCCCATAGTCCCTGGGACTCCTTGCATAATTAATGATAATAAATCTAATTTCCAATTCTTCGTGGGGAGAAAGTAACATTTTATGAAGAAAACTGATATGATACAAATATCTATATTAACCATATATGGTGTCGATAGTGTCTACCTTGTTTTGATCTTGTATCGATTCTTTCCAGGTATCCAAACATCCCTACTTGTATCGAATTAAGTAGTCAGCAGGGCAGTAGTGTTTGGCGTGGGTATCCTTTCTCCTCGCCGCTGCCCTTGGGAGCGCTCTGCGACCGACCGGGTCGTGCCATTTGCTCCTCTGCGTTTGAGGAGCCTTGCCCTGGAGGCCGCGCTCAACAATCTTTTTATTATTACTTGCTAGTATTCGGAGAATAGAGAGACTTATGTAATGCTACAAAAAACGATGTCCAGATTTTAACGCCAATGCACATTACGGTGTCCCAAAACACACAAAGAGTATTTTTTTAGTTTCTAGTGAACATACGTGGGTGAATACAAAGAAATATAGTTTTTTACACACTACTGCATTTGCGAGTATACTGCGATTTATGCAATTCTGCTCCTGGAAGGTATCAGCTGTTGACAGTTCTATGGTGACGTTCAAGCTCGCAATTGGACGAAACTGTCAACAGCTGGCACCTGTCAAGGGCAGAGTTGCAGAGAAAATCGCAGTATACAAGTGTCTCAAATGGCTTTTGATGAAGTTTCTCAAAACTCAAAAGTTTTGAGAGTGAGCTCAACATTGCATATTTTCAGAAACGTTCAAATATTTTCTCAAAAACGACTTCAAATTTTTCGAAGAAAATTTGCATTTAAAGCAAGTTTTAGTCTTCTTTATTTATATTGAAGTCGTATTTTCACTCTACTATTATGGTACTGGAAACAATGAGAAAGTGTGGGGAAACAGTACCTGTTTAATTAAATAATCAATAATAATAATATAATAATAATAATAATAATTAATATAATAATAATAATAATAATAATAATAATAGAAAGTAAATTAAACTATTGAGTTATCTGACACACCTGTAAATATTATATTTCACTATATTGTTTGAGTTAATTTTAAGAAAAGCTGTCCATTACTGAGTGCGATGTCGATAGATTTTAATGCGACAGTAAAACTTTGCATTATTG